TCTTGCATGCTTCTAGAGAACGTCGGTTAACGGTACCATCACCATCACCATAACTGGTATCCGGTTGGTAATCCGGAAACCACCTGCCGGACCACTCGAAAGATTCTGGTGTTTCAATGCCATACCCGTAAATACAATGCACCTGAAAGGAGAGTAAAGCATTTCAATATAATCTAAAATGTTCGATCTTGAATGAAATCACAATAGGTTTGCATGTTTTTAGATTAAATTATACCTCAATATTTGGTGCCTGGAAATCGCCAAGTAGATGAGCTGTATTCTGATACTGATACCAGCCAACTGCATAGCCAATATCTTTAAAGAATTCTTCCACATTTTTCAGAGTGTAATTTTTATCGTTAACTGTTGCCAGCACCTGTAGAAAATTATTCAACAATATATTTTAAAATTTCTCCAGCAGAACTTTGTTTAATTTTAATAAATTGACGAGAAAAACCAACAAATATTTCTACCCAATCCTTAAATACTCCACTCATTGTCATTTTTGCAATTGTTTTAACTTCATTATTCGCTGTTTAACCAATTCTATATATAAATTGATGACATCTAGCCAAACTTTTAAAAATTTATTAAAAGTTTCGCATGTAATTAGGTGCCAATTTTTACAATTTATTCCTTTCCAAAACAATACCAACTGTTTTTCCCTTCTTTCCATTTGATCAGATTGATTTCTTTTCTATTTCAGGCTTTTCACTGAAAAAATAGGAAAATTTCGAGATGCACCTACTTCGTTTTCACTCCATACATTGTAGCTTGGAAAAAGGAATGTCGAACTAGTGAATGATCGTTGCATTTCACGCAGTGAGCTTGGAGGTAGTAAAATTCTGTAGTGGTTCATATTATAGCCTGCAATTTTAGCATCAGAACAGCGTAAACTTAGGAATGTTTTCAATCATTTAAGAATGTTTCAAAACATTAAAACAAGAACCAAATGCTTATGCATTATTTACTCTTACTATATATTAATTGTTTGAGCAATGACATTAACAGTATAGTCTACAATTTGTAGAGTTTCTATTTTATTCTTTAAGTGCTTATATCACTACGTAGAATTATTAACTAGTTAGTTAAGTCAAAAATGGCTTCACAAGACAAGTATTGTGAAGCAACTTTCTCAGTATCATTTTTCTCGAGATATGTTGATAGATGTTATCATCTTAATTTACTATAAGTTTCATGCTATAAAACTTGCCTATGAGAATTTTCTAGTGACGACCATTGCATTTGTCAAAAGTATTACGATAAAAAATTCATTGAATTTAAAGTGGAAATGTTTTCGCAAAACTAAAACTTATGGGTACAATACTTACACATTCACCTGAAGCAAGAAGACGAATAATTTGAAGAGCACCGCCCCAAGCGCCAGCTATCGAAATATGCGAATGAATAAATTTGTCCTTCCATTCCTGTCATTTTCATCTTTTGATTTGATAATACAGAAAGTACTAGTGAATTATGTCAATTATGTTACCCAGTTTAGGTATATTATATATATATACATACATATATATATACAAATAAGTTTACTAAAAATACAATAACTGTGTTGTTAATTGGCAAGACACTACGATGAAGGGACACAGTACTGCTAGTAGTAGTGTTACTGTACCAGGATAATTTGACTGATATACATATATCCCTGAGAATGGCTATTCAGCGGCTTAAGTTTGAAACTTCCAGAAAATAAGTTCCGCTACACTTTCACAAATCACATTCGCAGGAAGAAGGACTGCCGAAATTGAATTTCATTTAGGCAAGTTTCAAATACATGTTGAGTAAGTTTCAAAAATTGTTTTCGTGATTTTTCAAGTATTTTTTCAAAATTTAACCTTTTTCAGAAGTGTTTAAAAAATTTTTTTAATTTGATTCGTCACAGCTAAAAGCTAAAAGTTAAAGGATGAATAGGAAAAAATTTTTTGGAACCTGTGTGACGATGCTGTTGTAAAAGTAAAGCAACAGTGGATTACCCATGCTATGCGCAATAATGATCACTTTCCTGTGACCACAAGAACGATAGATGTCTTCAATCAATTTTGTCAAATTTGAATAATAGTGTCCGAGTTCATCTGCAATTTTAATTAATGTCCCTGTGATAGGAATACATGGGTTTTTTTCTCCATCTTTTATGACATAAAAATCTGAAGGCACTGGAGACGGTTGAATTTTTAGAAATTTAAGAAATTGGAGATTTTTAATGACCGTAGACCCCTAAAACAATTTTATTCATATAATCGCTTGTGATTTAAACATAAATCAGATTTGTGTGATATGTGAAATGACGTGAAATTCTGAAATGAAATTTTAACTTAAAATAAAATCGAAAATTCACATCAAAGACTTACTTGGAGCTTGTCTCCAATCATATGGTGCACCTACAATATTTTTACCTCGATGATAACCGAATGGTAGCAATGCTTCAACGATATCAGTGAAATAGCGTCCTTCCGACGCTTTTGATGTGTCCAACCATTCTATGGTACTTGTATTCCGGAATCCGGGCACCTCGACCAGTACACCCGGCATACTTGATGTTTTGTTTGTTGTTTTATTGTATACCAACCTTCAAATACTCTTTCAAATATCAGTAAAGTAACAAATAACTCTCGTAATAAAAGTCACACGGAATTTCTTTTATTGCTTGTTTTGAGGATGAGTATGCTCTTAATGCTTTGCATTACAAATCAACTTACTTCATATTATCCACCCAACAATCGATTACCGTTGGCAAGAATAACTCTAAATTTAGCCACAGGTCGAAGAAATCATCCGTTTGTCGAGCACACCAGTAGTGCACAGTTTCAGGTTTCCCAGTAAGCTTTCCCTTCAACTGCGACCCGCCATAACCGGGTACTATAAATCTTCCTCAGTGTAGTTGTTTGTAAAGTTACATTCATTATATGTTGAAGATATTTGCATACTTTTCCAGTACATCTTATACAGTTATGTACTTTTACTTCCACAAATTCACATTACCATTTAAATACTTACCTAATACAATTGGATGCAAAGGTTTCCCTTTTGTTGCACAAATTGTTCCTGATATCATAATCGAAAAAATTAAGGCCATGCTGAATGATGACATCCAAATGAACATCATTACTTCAAAAAATTATTTTTCCTTGATGCTAAATTAATATAATTGCTTCTTTCGATTTTACTTTTTCACATTCGTTCAAATGTAGCATTAAACAGCAATGATTAACAAATATAACTTCAAAAATTAAATGCTTAAGTTCAAAATACCAATAATATAAGCGTCAATAACAACTGTATAGTAATACTCGTAAAAAATTTCTCAAGTTCAACCATAATTTTACGATAATTGGAAGATAGAATATATCAATTAACAGCAAAACGCATTGTAATTTTAGACACAAAGATTTACAATTACTTGCACACTTCATAATTCCGATTTAGGACATTGCATCACAAGAAAAACTCACATCATTGTTGAAGTGAAAGATGTAGTCGAGTTACAGCATTTAACTTTCAAATTAGTTTATGATTTAATATAAAAATAATGTTAAAATTCCTTTCACATTACCTCGCTCATCGACTCAATTCGAATTAAGATTTAAAAGTTTCAAAAAAATTTCTATGTAAATGTGTGGAAAAAAGAAAAGAAAGACTTTAATGCTAAAATCTCGCGAATTCCATTCTCTTTTGGACCAGACATTGAAAACTTTTTGATTGAAAACAGCTCTGCTTGTAAATCTAAACAAAGTTGACTTTCTGGAAAATAAGAAAGGGGTCTGCCGGGTCATATCATTTATTATCATTTCATAGCCTTTTTCAATACTTTGCTTCATAATGATGCACTAAATCTCAAATGATTAAATAAGCATAAAAATAATCTCAAGAAGAAATGTAAATTTCGATTTAAACTACAAAATCAATTACCCAACAACCAATTCTGCATGTATTTTCCTCACTTTTAATAACTAACTGTGACTTCTTCTACAAGGGTATGAACAGAAAGCAGATCATCTCACAACCATTAACATCAGCTGATATCTAACAAATGAGTGATCAATCATCCCGAGTATTGAATGGCTCGTCACAACTCTTCAGAAGATCACTGAGCTAGAGAAGCCATAGCTAAAGCTGATTAATAACGTTAAAGGATAATGAAACTGAAAAGAAAAGAACTTATAATGTCATATTACAACGTAACCTCAACTACAATCTCTTCCACTTATAATGTGGTATGGCGCGATAATTTATTCGCACCAATTGGTTCCTTACCTGCCATCTTTGACCGTCTACTGCATGTAATATTAGAGAAGTATATATGGAAATAGCATTCGTGGACGTAAAAAGAAATGTTGATAAAGCAAATTCATGCGACTAGAATTCTATTTGCAAATATTCTTACTGATAACGGGACGACATCTTATCAGTCCGCAGAAGATAAACAGTAAAGGTCTGAGATATTCAGGACGATTTCAGAATTTATTTTTTGCAAAATTATTGTTTTTCGACTGACTTAATGAATCATATGCTGAATGTAAACAGTAACCCGGCGCAATAAAAATTCACACCTGTACTTATGTTTGCATTAAGAAACCTCAGAGGTAATCTCTTCTCACTAAAACGAAAGCATATATATTTATCATAGTGATGGTAGATGTGTGCATAAGTTATTTCTGATTACACGTCAATTTAAAAACGAAAATTTTTATTTCCAAATACTCTATAATGCTGAGACAAATTTGAGAAATGCAAATGATCTTAAAGGAAATCCGAAACTTTTGAAATTAAATTACAAAATTTGGAAAACCTTTAACAGTCTGGAAATAACGAAAACATTATTAGAAACATATAAATCGATCATTTCCATAGATTGACATAAGCACCGCTACTGAAACAAGAAAGTATACAAAATAATTTCACAATTTGACAGAATTTCTAAAAATAACTAAAGAAGTTGAATCGTTTGAAAAAAACACAAAGAACACGAAACCTTCAATTCAAAAGCATCAGCCAGCGCTTAAATATTTGCGTCCAGCAGCTGAAGATCGAACACTGAAATAGGTCTCTAAGTTCCTAAATGCAACTTTTTTCATTTTCTTTTTGCAAAAGAATCTATTCAGTCCTCAAAATCATAATAAATCTTAACCTTTTGATATTTGTTCTTTTCTTCCTCTCCTAAAGTATCAATAAAAGTTAATGAAATTCCTAAAATCTCTGTTCATTAATACAATTTGATCTGAAGCATTACTTTTTTATGACAGTTATTTATCGAAAATGTTTTCTCATATCTTATTAAGAACCACAGTTTTCCTATTCTTAAATGGACGATTACAGAAACCACTGACCACAATTAATCATATTCAGAACAGCGAAATCAGCCATTAAATATTTTTATACTTGATAATATTTTACATTGTAATACGACTAAAGATTACCATTGTTGGAGCAAAAACTGTGCCATTTCAATCTGACTTGGTGTGCCTGATATAGTAATGATCCGTTCACCGTTAGGATCTTCTTCCTCGATTTTGATATGTGCACCCGATTCATCGCGAATACGTCGAATACGTTCACCACCTCGACCAATGATTGTCCCGCCCAATTCATTCGGCACAGTTACCTGAAATTTTAATGGAGTACCACATATATTACCATAAGGCTAACAAAAAGTGCAGATTAAATATATTATTGGTAGGATCAAAGTACATGAACTTTTTTTCTCAAAAAATTTTAACAGTCCGAAAATACTGTGCAGGTTACTTATACCTGTTACTCAAAAGCAGTTACATACTTACAAACCTAGTCGACTAGAGAGCAATTTTAAATACATTTGTTAACTTCATTCGACAGTATACTTTGAAAGATTTCAATCTGATTTGTGGCAGCAGGCATACCTGTGCTGTCTCTAATGGTCCATCATCGTATGCAGGTGGCACTGATCCATAAGAAGGTAAAGGAATTCGACCTCGCGGACCGTACCCTCTTATTCCCCGTCCACTATGATCGCCAGCATAACCACCATATTCATTTGCAACCATTGGGTCAAAAAAAATTGACTCGTATGGACGTGAAGGTCCTTTAATTGGAATCTAAAGATGAAAACTTTATTCCATAGCTTCTACATTCACTTGTTCCATGGAAGCCTTAACTTCTATATATTTTATAATATATATATATATATATATATATATATATATAAAACATAACAAAAATTTTAAGAAAAATTTAGACAGAGGAAATAAACATTTCAAAATACATTACCATTCATCAAGGATAACCACTGCTATTAGTGATACTTTCTAACAAAAGTCTTCAAAACACATTCAAAGTAAGCAGTAAGATAAAAAATTCGACATACTTCTTTCAACGTATTGATAATTGTAACCAAGCAAGCCACAATTTTTTCTGGTTTTCCATTAATCTGGATAATACGTTCTGTTGACTGGGGACAACACTCTGAATACACCTGTAAAATATGACAAGAGACTTCTTTGAGTTACAGCGATATACAGGATATAAGTGATCTTGTTATTTTTATGAATCTGTCTGAAACAACCTTGAGATCAACTCCGTTTTCCTCGCGTAATTCCTTGATACGACTTCCACCACGACCAATTACAGCACCTGCATGAGACTGGTGTACCAGTACTTTCAGTTCTGAATCGCGGTTCTGGTTGTCGTGTACCTAGAACACAAAGATCTAGCGCAAAATTTCTCTATAAATATTTGTAGACGAGAAGAAATTTTCTACTACTCGAAAAACTGATAAAGATCTTACTATACTTGATATTTTGAACTACCAAGCCTTGAAAAAAAAAAAAAAAACTGAAACGAAAAAACTGAAAACGTAGGCACAGCTCTGTCAGTTTTTATTTTGTTTCTTTTAACAATTTTATTGATGTTATCAATACTTTCACGGATGCATGCAAAAAATAATAATGATTGGGTACTACATAAAAACTTCAAACTACTTTTTGCCTCTAGAAAGCCATTAGATTAAGATCTGAATAAGTGGATTTTAGAAGTGACTTTATAAAAGGCATCATGAATAAAAAAATTAAACGCAATGCATATTTATTTTTTAAATATTTACCAACCTCATCGATTCTCGCAATTATCATTTCTACGCATTTCACAACATTTTCAACCGCTGCAACTAACTGTACCACACTGCAATTGAATACCGAAAAATTTCTAGAATTACTACATAATAAGAAAGACAATTAAACATGCAATAAACAACGTCAATTACGCTACACTGTTTCAAATTAAAACAATAATTTTGCTTCGAAAAGTATGCGCACTGACGGAAACATAAAATATGAAAATGGCAGCAAATCTGACCTTCCGATTCAAACTAACTTCTCAGTAAAGGATTTTGATTGAAGAATAACAATTATTAGAATGTGAAACACGTACTATACATGAATGGAATGACCCAACAAGGATTAATATCAGAAGCAAATCAAGATTCTTCGAAAAGAATCACATGCTGGCTGCAAAGGCGTGGACACTTGACGATTATTAACTGCCTGTCTAGATAATCTTTATATCAAGAAGCCAGAATCAATCCATTAAGAAAACCAGAAGGTCGGAGTACTACCATTTCACTACCATTTCAGCTTCTAATACAGCATTTTTTAATGTTGAAGTTATTTAATTTTCATCTCTCACAACAAGAGTAAAATAATTTTTAAAAAATTGTTCATCGAACAAAGGCAACCGGCAGAGAGAAGTTGGTTAACAGTGGGCGGGCCGCTATCCAGGTGGGCCAAATCAACACACCGCTGCCAGTGAGTTACGCGGCCCTGCTTAGCCGTAGAAGTAGCATACACCAAATCTTCTCAATCCAGTTTTGCCGTACTTCAGTAAAATATAGGGAGGATTGGAAGGAGGGTTTACCGTTCAGGCGTTTGGCTATCGGGGACCGATACAGTCGCGTCGCACTGCAATGAGTTACTTACATTTAAATAGTTATATACAGCAATATGTTTTAATAGGTTTAAACCCGGTTTAACTAAGTTCTAGTCGAATTAGTTCATATCAAAACTTCCCAACTAAAATCCAAAGAATAATACATAGATTGAAGCACACATTCTCCAAATAACTCCAACGATTAACTCCAGCGATTTCCCATCACCATAACTCCAACGATCTCCCATCACCATTAAATTTTCCAGTCATTAACTTAAGCATATTTTCTAACCAGAAAAATTTCCGAATCAATCAGCGAAGATTCTTTTTCCAAACGTAGAAAGCAACTTTCGGCGGAAATCTTACGAATGTTTCTCGGGATCTTCTAAGTACCTCGACTGCCGAACTTCCAAAGACAGCATTCGTTCTCTTGTTACATGTATACAATGTACACGGAATATTCTCACGTTGAGTCAAAATCACTCATATCAACTAAAATCAAGAAGGAAAGATGAGCATGTTATCCTAGTGATAAAAACTATACCTCGGTTTGAATATTCTTAACGCTTTCACCCTTCTTGCCAATAATTGCACCAGCTCCTCGACTTGTTACCAGTAATCGCAATTCATATTTACCGTCAGCTAAAGCCTTCTGATATGAATCTTGCCGTTGTCGCTTTCCAGCGGTTAGCCCAGTACCATAACCGTAACTGTAACCATAAGGATCTTCGATTCGCTGTCGTTTCATTACAATCTAAAATCATATATCGCAGTTGCATGTCAGATTAAAGGAATTAGTTTTAACACATTAGCTGAATTTGAATGCTTCGAAATCTGTCAATGATTTCAGAGTGTGAATGATCCAGATTGCACTAAAACATTGAAATTACAATGGCTACACATCCACAGACAAGAACGTTTCAGTTAAAAAATGGGTAGAAGTGGGCAAAAATTACAGATTGCTATTAATCACCTGCTCTTCTTTTACCATTTATATAACCCATATTACCTGTAATTCTCATTTATCTTTGTCATCTCCCCGGTCTCAGCACTCTTTTTGTTGCTTACAGTCACTGTTTCTATGTAACGTGCTGTGTTTACCAATCCCTCATTCCATGTATAGCATGCTATCTCGTCTGACATTATTACACTACCTGCTTGCTTTCAATCTCCGCCTCCACACCTTTGCTATTTTTTCGATTCTTCTCAAGATTCCTCAGATGAACATCACTTTATTGCTACCCGAATGAAACACTACTAACTTCAAATCGGATCAAATTAACTACCAGCAAGCGCAACTCCACTCGAACCACCTGCACATCACATACTGACAGCCGTTGGATATGTCGCTCGCTTCTACCTGAGTAGCCAATATGCAACTAATTGGCTCAGTGATGCTTTCCGTTAAACTACATCTCTTCCACTCGAATAATCCTTTAGAGCTAAAAACTTGAAAGAAGAAGTGTCGTCCATAGTGAGATTACCAATTCATAACACTAAATCATCCTTTATTTTTGCTCATAGCTCATTTTTTTGAGATCTTTTCTAGTTGCTTTTCTGTTCTCAATTTCATCGTTAAACTCTTTAACAGCTGGAATTTTCCGGAGGTCACTTGGAATTGTTTTCGGTTTTTCAATGACATTTGAGAGAATACTCTACTCAGTGATAGCAGAAAGGCGGTATTCTCAATGAACAATGTCCCAAAATCAGAATCGATAGAGCAATATTGTCCATTCTGATTGAAGCCTTATTTACTGTTATAGTGCCCTCCCTTCAACATAATTCCACTGCTTTTATTTCCACTTTTCTTCATTCTCTACCACCGGTGATCCATCCATTCCCATTGTCCAACTTGATTTTCCTGACTGACCAACCAATGGTCAGTCTAACTTTATATATTTATCCATCACTTGTTTATTATCTGAGCAAACAGAAATGATGCCTATAGTCTTCTTCTAACCCAGTTGCACAGGAAGAAATCTTTCAACCTATTTGGCATTTTGTGATCCATCTTAGATATCTGCAAGAATCCGTGACCCATCTGAAAATTCATCTTCAGATGGTTGCATAAAAAGGTTTTCTTTTAACTCTTTTTCCATCATTCTATGGCAAAACAGAAGACAGAGAATGGAATAAAAAAATGAAGAAGAAATGATAGGAAGGTAGGGTCGCCCATCCTAATGCAATTTTGTTTATATAAAACTGTTATATGGTGATGGGTGACCGAGAATGATGTCAAGACGTCTGGAGTTAGGCGTGGCATGTCGGTTAGAACGGTTAGGAGGACAGGCATTAGGAAATCTTTCAGTAAACATGGGAACTAAAGTGTGGACGTGCTTTAGTGATATTGTCAGCGCCGCTACGCTCTTTTCCGGTTTTTCGATACAAATTCAGCGTAAATCTTTTTTGTGAAAAATGATATATATATATATTTTTTTCTTGTATATGTGTGACAGATGGTGAGAGATTACAGCAATTTGAGTGGATTTGATCGTTCACATAGGACTGCTCGAGAGATACGGCATGTGCGTCACGACACATCGGGCGAATAGTAACGTCTGAGAAAAGGAACTGAAATTTCCTGTTGATTTGTCGAAAATTCTTCTGTTCACTTTGTTACTTCTCCTTCTATTTCTTGAAAAAGAATTCTTCAATTTGTCGAGGATTTATTTTGTTTTTTCTGAGAAATTTATGCTAATTCTGTGAAGTGATTAATGACGTAGCTCACAACGAAGTTTTCAAATTCTTCAAGAAAACTAGGAATATGAAACTTTGAATATAGGTAAATTCTGCTTTTGGAGCACTCCTATAGCATTTCTAATTTATTTCTTTCCGAAAGCTAATCAGGTTTTCTCCCTCCCTGCCTGCACTAATGTTGAGAACCGTTTAGTAATATCTTAAAAGACTGAGTAATTATCAGTTTCATAGCCTAAAGATTTCTGTGGTGAATAAACTGCACGATGAATTATTGAATTAATTTGGCAGTTGTCTTCTTCACTCAGTAGTTCTTCATATTTCCTTTTATTATCACGAGTTCATTCAATACTTCGCAGTTTATTCATCAAAACATCAGTGACAACGATTTGTGTTGGGAATGGCGACATTGTTGCTATAAGTGACAATGTTAATCATAATAACAGAAAAGTTGTGAATTTCATGAAAGAGCTCACTAAATTTTTGTCGTTTACAAAAATCATTGCTATTTCAATCATATCTATCTTCATTTTACAGCTACTTTTTATGAACCAAATTTCTTCGAATTTCTCTTGATGCAAATATTACTATTTCGTTTTTCTACCTAAAATATTAGATGCTCGTAAAATATCATTAGTAAAAGTATCTTTTTTTCAAATTATCTTTTCCGCAACTTTTTTGGCTTTTATTTTCAAGATAAGTAGACAGGAAGTAAGTATCTCAAAAAGGCAAATACATTTCGTGAAGTTTAATTTTTTTGTCGAAATGTGTGTTTAATTTTAATCGCTCTATGTTGATGCGATTGTTTTATATGATACAGATATAATCAGGCATCCTCAATTCTTCCCGGACTTTCGTTATTATTTTCTGTCTGCTCTTATAAAAAGTGTATTCTGATTTTTTTTTTCCTAGAGTTTCCTATCTTTTCTCGAAATTTTTTCAGCCAAGTCACTCTGTGACCTAATTTATTTGTGCACAAAATAAATCGTTGTATTTCAAGACTGGAATTCATCAATAAAACCACGAAAAAAAGAAGGAAAAAAAAAAACCATTTAAACAAAATTCACGAGAACCAATCAGAAACACATGAAGAAAATATTTTTTGGAGGAAATTACACTGAATCTACTAATCTTTCATCACCGAACATTTGCTGAGATTTTTCTGTAAATTTCTTCAAATTTAAACCTTTAGTAGCAGGCGACAACTGTGCAGTGTATGATCGTTTTTTACCGCTCCGACTGTTTATGTAGGTTTATCTATTTCTTTTTTCTTGAAAAGTATTGATAATGGCTTTAGTTTAAGTGAAGTTCATTTAACTTTTCTTTTCATGTACAATCGCTAACAGTCTCGATCTATTAGCCATATCAATGTACAGTAACTTTATTTTTTCAGTATTTGTCTGCCGTATGCTGCAAGAAAAGGGAAAGGTACAAATTACGAAGAGAGAAAAAAATAACTTTACAGCTTCATGTTTTTCTTTCTGAATCTCAGTGCACAAATAAATATGATGGTATTAGAAAATTGATTTGAAGAAATGTCTGTTTTCTGAGAGTAGTACTATTTAGCATAGTGAATAAATACAGTTAGTATTATATAGCAAGGCATGCATGCATGCTAGAGTTGTATCTTATGGAGTGAATTTAAGATGAATTTCATCCACAATGAAAGCAGCGTTTGCATTTTGCGCTCGTTTTATACTGGTAATTACGTGGATATGAATGTTGTGAAATGACAACTGGAAATATAAGAATAGCTAAATAATTATGTTCTTGTTTAGCAGCATAGTGACATAGTTCAAGATGGAAGAAGCTAAGAAACTGCTTTTATTGATGAAGCATGGTTAGACCAAGTGTTATTGATTTCCTAAAAAAGTCACATAAATAACTGGCTAGTATCCGTGCAGTTAACTCGTAACTTGTTGGTTGTATTCTAATCACGTAACAGCACTGCGATTTTGTTCACCGGAAGGAACACTTGAAATTTCTCAGTGATTAGGAAAATAAGCTGACTGCAAATGCCTCGCAACACGGTTAGCAAAGAACTGAACTCTTTTTCCTTGAGATGTTCCTGATTTCACAGTGGCCACAATCGCGATTATATACCCATAGTTACGGTCTGTTTTTTGTTGATTGGACGTCACATTTTCTGGCCGGAATCATGGTGTGGTTTGGATTAAGTTAGGGCTTGATAGTTGGTACCATTTGTTACCATCTTTATATGTCGCTATTTGTGAGTTGTTGGCTACTTGAATAGTTCTAGGCCCCAAAACTTCATCGAGTTGTTGGGTTTGTTCTGCCAGTCTTAGATGTGGGATAAACTTGCATCATAACAAGGACCTATTGTAGTTGCAGTGGAGGCTACTTTGCTTTTATTGCTTATCTCTCAAGCAAGTCTGTTATAGTATCAGAATCTCAATGACAGGAACAGCACCAAGTTAGTCAGACTGAAATTCATATCTCTGGTTCGCATACACACACACACACTACAGCGACGTTCTCACTCCTACCCAACGTATTCATGGTGTGAAATAGATAGTGAGTGTGCAATGGGAATGTGTCGAGGAAATGCTGCTTTACACTCTATCATTACTTGCATTATTGTTACATTTCCCTTCCTCCATCTCATTTGTCTTCTGTATTTGAGTTGGTCTTGAATTTGTTTGATGTGGCATTTCCTTCAAAAAATATAGCAGTTTGTACCACTGATGTCAGTTTGATTTGGCAATCGTAAGAGATAATAATGTTTCGCTATTAAAAAAAAAATGTAACATACATCTTTTTTTTTACTTTTTTTTTTTACATTTTTTTTTAAAGGAGAAGTTTTCGGTAATTTGAATACTGCTCTGGGTTTTATTAAGAAATAGTGAGAATTACAGAGTGACTGAATTGTTTTGTCAATATTTATATGATTTGTATGATAATTATTGCAAACAAATATTAAATTCTTAATACCATTAGTCTCTTATTTATACTGCATCCAAAAATAATGTCGTATCAGTCATTTTTTATTATAAGCACCTTCGTTATCTAGAACATGCAGAATAGTATATTGGAATTCGGCGAAATGGTTATCATGTGCTGGAAGATAGGGTAAAGACTCTCACCTGACACAAGAACGTGTGCGCATAAAATAGGTTTATAACAAAATTGGAGTAATGCAATATTCTAGTCATTTCAGAGTTGGTGGCGTATACACTTCATTTATTTTAATATAAAAGGATGTCTATGCAACAGTATCGAAATGAAAAGAAAGTAATTGAAGAGGCAGTAGCAAAAGTGCGTGAGGTGGTACGTACGGCATCAAAGAACGACATCATTCTTGCACTTCATAATTTCGATTTCGATGTTAACAAAACTATTCAAGCATTTTGTGATGGTTCGTCAAATCATATCTGTTTTGAAAGAAAGCTGTTTCATAGATTTGAGTTCAAATTTCGCTCATTATATTC